GGGACAAGTGACGAAGAGAGAAAATAGGTGGTCTCAGATCCAACATTACTCATCAATAATCTGACTGGTAATGAATTACGGAGGTCTCGTCATCGACCAAGAAGGCAAAAATGTCCAATAACAAAAGCGAAATAAAATTTCCTCTAAAATAAAAATGCTATTAGAATTTTAAATAAGAAATGTTAAGAAATTTAATAAAGCTCTAAACAGAAAAGATCAAGAAAATAAGACTCTAAGAATCTAAAACTAAAATAATATTACACAAAATAATAATGTACATAATATATTTACAAAATAGATATTAAAAGCATAAATATAATAAATATAATAATAATATTTACAAAAATAATAATATTTATATATAAAAAAAAAACAGAGGGGTTTTGTGAGTGATGCCACCTCGTGAGCATTAGCCTGCTCGTGTTGGACTGATGCCACCTCAACTGCATTTTCTGCCTCTACTCCATCCTTTTGAAACTCTCCTTCGGGATCAGACGGATCATCTCCAGATCCTTGTCCTTGAAAATTAGCAGCTCTCTCGTCCTTCTCCTCAGGCTGATAATCAGAACCTTCTACTTCGACAGAAACCACGGAATCACGCACGGGCACCTGAAAAGACCCATAATTTCCAGCCGCTGCAGCAGCAACATCAATTGGAGCCTTCATCTCAGGAGTAGTAGTAAAGTGCTCCGAAGACATAATTTTGTCCAACTTCTCCCTCAAACCAGCATATGTAACATCAACATTGGGGTCAATAGGCTGTTGAGCCCTAGAAACCCACAACTCAGCATGCTCAATGCATCTCCGAAGCGCGTTCTTATGCGGAAAGCTTGAATCAGCAGGCCGAGAAATCAACAACCCAAACAACGCAGAGATCGAGTCCAAATCCTTCTCCCCAAGCAGATCGGTGGCATCATCAGTAACATAATCATAAGTTAAACAAACATCCACGCTCATGCGTCCTCGTAAGCATAGTAGAAGTAAAATCATTCTGTGTCTTCACTTCAAAAAGCGAACCAAAGTAAAGCAAATTGAGAATATCCTCAACCACATCCCCGTTCTGGTTCGGCCGTTGTTCCGAATTGGGAGCGGAATTCGGAGCGGGAACAGAGTTTGGAACGGAATTCTCAGGTAGGGTTTCACGGTTGTTCTGAAGGGCGAGGTCGAGTTCTTCAGTTAGGGCAACGGAAAGCGGTTGACGAAGCTTCTCCAACTCATCAATGAGAATGAGAACGGAGAGTTTTGAACGGAGAACTTCCTCTTGTTCCTTGTTAAGTGGCTTCCCTTGTGAAACTGATTCTTCCATGGATGTGATTCGGTTTATTGAGGAAGGTTATGGTTTAACGAGGAAAGAAAAGGGATTTAACGGTTAATGGTTGTTGGTTCGATGAATGGGTGAAGTTGGACGGTTGTTGAAGAGAAGAGTTTGCAGATGGTGATGTTATGGTGAAGGTTTTTCTTTCTGTTCTTCATGGTTTCCGCTTGGCTCTTCCTTTATGCTATGTTCTTTATACAGGCTTTTTGTTGTTTGTTATGCACATGAATGGTATTGTAGTTTGCTACGCACCATGTTGTTTTGGAGGTATTCGGAAAACAAAAATTTGAAGTGTGGCTTGGCTTTTGGAAATAGGCTTCTTTTTTCAAGAGATGTTGAGGTTCAGAATTTCTTGTTCAGTTTTCAATTCCAACTATGTTCTTCTGCTGATATTTGATGAGTGTTTTGTTTTTAAGTTGAGGTTGAGAGCATGTAGTAAAGGAAAAGATGGAAAGAGAAAGAAAAAAGAAAAGAAAGTTTTCTGGTCAGGAGCTGTTTTTTTTCTTGAGGCGTGATGATAATGTATATGGTCTTCCCGGAGAGAAAGAATTGCCTTCACCTCTTGTATGAATTTCGTTTTGTTGTTGCTGTCAGTGTTGCAGGGTCGGTGTGGAGCAAGTCTGCAGGTTTTGTGTGGGGGAACAAAAACATGTGCTGCTGCGGTGTTACAGGTCGTACCGTTGTTAATATCAGTGGTGGGAAAAAATCTGTTTGAAATTGGTTGTCATTTTTACGTTTCCTGTCCGTATGGATGTCGTGGGGTAGTGGCTAGGACAATATTTTCTTTCCTTTATGGCATGGTACAACCTATTTGTACTTTAAAAGCTGGTGTGCTTTTGTACGGGAAAATTAGCAGAAACGTTGCAGGTTTGCTTGGCTGTGTTGATAGTGGACAAAGCTTGAGGGGTTATGCAGGAGGACGGTCCAGATCTCAGGACTCGTTTGGCCTGTTGTAGTAGTGTTGGTTTTTTTTGAAGTGAGTTTGGAGGAAGTTGTGGGATGAAGGTATCGCTAACATGGATTCAAGGTTGAGGCTGAGGAATAAGGACACGGTGATTCCATCTTCCAAATGAGACCATCAAAACTTTGAGGTTTTGTCCTCCTCTCCCTTTTGCTGTCAAGAGGCTTTTTTTTTTTCTTTTTAAACTTTGAGAGAGTTTTATTATGTTATTGTTGTGTGTGTTATTTTCATTGATGAATTGTAATGGTCCTTTTGGTTTGTTCATTGTGTTGTTTTTTGTGTGGCATGCGTGACAGGATGTATTGTGTAGCAGCATGCTGGAGGCTGCAGGAGCAGGAATTACATACAGTTTGCAACAAATGGCCGTACGGATTTTTGTGTGTGAAGGTTTGTGGAGTCCAGCTGAGTGCAATTGCGGAATGGGAGTTTTGTCGCTTGCTTTTGGAAAGAAAAAGTGACAGCTTGCGTGGGACCGATGGTTTTTGTTTTGATCCTTGTTGCAGCACAAGCAATATGGGTTTGTTGTGTAGGCTGGAGACATACTGAGAATGTACTTTTGCAGCAGAGGGACATACTCTGATAGCCAGCATTGTTGGCAATTTTTTTTTATGTACTATGAATGGGTTTTTGTCCCTTCCTCTTTTTTTTTTTTTTTTTAAATTTGTAAGACCCTTTTTCTGTGTAACAAGAAATGGTGATGGGCTTCTATATTAGTAAACTTCATGGACTTATGTACAAATTTGTGTATGAATTTTGGTTTAGAACAAAAAATGATAATGGGATTTTTTTAGAATTAATGGGCTTTGAGTGACAATTGAATTTGGACAAACTGGTTAGAAAAGTATAAAATAAAAAAAAGTTATGAAATATTGGATAAAAAAAAATAAATAAATGGACTTAAATGAAATGAGATGGATTTAATGACAAATAAAAAAGTGGGTTGAATATTAAAATAAGGTAGATAACCATGGATGGAAAATAATGGAAAATGATAAGAGATAGAAAGTGGAAATGGGTATGGATATTGGAAGGATTTAAGGCACAAACAGATGATTGTTTTAGATAAATAATGAAAAATGGGGGATGGGTTTGAATCATGAAAAATGAAAATGGGCTTCAAATGTTATCAATTTAGTTTGGGCCTTGAAACGAATTATTGTCACCCTTCATTTATTTATTTTTAAGCAACTTTGCAAATAGATTTGCATTATCCTTGAATTGGTCCATGAATCGATCTTGAGTCATCCTAGGCACTTGAATAAACCAATTTTTTAATATGAAACCTCCTGAGTCAGAAAACGCCTTGATATCAGAGAACCATGACAAACCCTTAATCGGACATGAATTATCTTTGGATTCCTAGCAAGCATAAGAATTGAAGGCCTTTTGCCTTGATCACGAAACTAGCTCTTGCCTGATCAAAATTTGGTCACAACCATTGAGCTTCAATCAATACCGCCCGCATAAACCTGGCCTGACATCTTGAAATAAATCTCAGTACAATTCAACATAGCAACAACCTGAATGGGGACACCATATTTCTTTGATTTTTTGGAGTGATAATCGGTGGACAAATTTAGGGTATGACAGATGTATGATGATGATTATTATGATGAGCTATGATGACATGACGTATGATGATGATTATGATGATGAACTATGACATTTGAATATGATGAATGATGATGCACATATGATGTTGTTATGAGGATGATTTGTGACGTGTGCATCATGCATTCATGTGCATCCGGACTTCGGTTCAGGACCTCGATTACTTTGGCTTCAATCCCATTGTGTGGATGTGAAGTGTTTTGATGTGCTCCGGTTCTCAAGTAGAATCGATCCTATTGATGGGGATCTATGGAGGATTGATGGCCCAGTGTCCATCACACTGTTATGATTGGTACCACATACATTGAGTCTTGTTGCATTGCATTTATGAGTCTTTTTGTATGAATTATGACGTCGTGGCCTTTGAGGCATATTGAAGGATATGAATGTGTTGAATATGATTATGATGCCATTTATATGTTGATTTTTATACATTGATTATTATGAATTGTTTTACTCACCCTGCCCGTTTGAATGTTACCTCCACGTGGGTAACGTGCAGATGATCAGGTTTAACCATGGACGTCGTTGAGGATTTTTGAAGTCTTTGAGTTGTTAGCCTTTTGGTTAACTTAGAGGGTCTTGCTCTGATATGTAACATCGGGTTGGGTTCTTTTGAGTTAAACTATATACTGTTGAGTTATTTTGCTTATCTTCCCGTATGAGGAAAACCTTGATTTATACCTTTTGAGTTCCGCTGCTTTGTGCAATTTGATGTATTTTGAGAAAACCCGTTGTACACGAAGCATTGATTTATTTTGAGCTATTGAGAAATGTACACCCTTTGAGGTAATTTTTATTGAGTTAAATAATTTACTCTGATATCTGTGTTATTTTGCCTTAATAATTGTGGGGTAAAAAAAGGGTGTTATAATAGGGGTATGCCATGTTCATGAAGTGGAGTATCAAGTTCTTGATATGATGATGAAGACAAATGGGTTGTTTGAGCACAACACAATTAGGAAGCACTATACTTGATATAATAAGCACACGAATGAGACCATATACTCAAGAATTAACAAAGTTATTTGTAACAAGGAGTGGCATTTGAAGTACCCTAATAGTAATACTGAAACTTTACCCCCTCACATCTGTGACCACTCCCCTCTCAAAATGATCAAAGATGTTAACTTGGCACCAAAGAGAAAGAAGCATCCTAGGTTTACATTCATAAATGCTTTGGTAGATGTGCCTGATTTTAGGGATGTAGTGAGTAGTAGATGGAATGTTGAGATAGAGGGCAAACTCATGCAGAAGTTGTGGAATAAGTTGAAAATACTCCAGCCAATCCTAAAAGGAATGAGTATGAGGGTTAGCAGAGGTGCCCAAAAGATTCAAGAGTACAGAGACAAGCTGAACCATGTGCAACAGAAGCTGAATAATGATATTTTTAACCCTGAGCTTATTTAGAAAGTCAAACATTGGACTGAAGAGCTTCTTAACAACACTGATATTGAAGAAAAAATCATGATGCAAAATTCCAAAGTCAACTGGTTAAAGCTTGGAGATGGCAGCAATGCCTACTTCCATGCCATTGTGAAAGAGAAAAACAAACAAAATGGATTGCATAGACTGGAAAATAATCAGGATAAAATTCTTGGTGAGTTTAAAGATATTGAGAATGAGATTATCCAATTCTACCAGGAGCTGATTAGAACTAATACTCAGAATCTCATGCATGTGGATGTTGAAGTCTTAAGAAGAGCGACCCAATTGGAAGAGAATCATAGAGAGTAGCTTATCCAACAAGTTATTAAACATGGGATTTTGAAAGCTCTAAAGTCCATATGTGACTTAAAAGCACCAGGTATGGATGGTTTCACTTGAAAATTCTTCAAAGTAACTTGGAGCATTATCAGAAAAGATCTAATTAAAGTTGTGTTGAACTTCTTTGATGGTAACTACATGTATGCTGCCATTAATTGTGGAAATGTTACTCTTATCCCAAAATTTGATGAAGCAAAGATAATGAAGGATATGAGGCCCATAGCTTGTTGCTCAACTGTGTATAAAATAATACCTAAGATCCTCACAAACAAGTTGAGCAAAGTCAAAAATTCAGTAGTGGATGATAGTCAATTAGTTTTATTGCCTGGGTAAGTGATCCAAGACAACATAATCATGGCTCATGAATTGATAAGAGGGTACAATAGGAAGCATATTTCCTCTAGATGTGCCATACAAATGGACATTCAGAAGGCATATGACACTATTGAATGGAAATCTTTTGAAGACATATTAAAAGAGATGAACTTCCCTAGAAAGTTTATCAATTAAATTATGATGTGTGTATCTATTGTTTCCTACAAGTACTCAATTAATGGGAGCTACACTGACTTGCTGAAAGCAAAAGGAGTGTTAAGGCAAGGGGATCATATCTCCCCTCTCCTCCTTGTGCTAATCATGGAATATTTCCATAAGTATTTGGGGAAGCTCAAAGACAGACCTGACTTCAATTTCCACCCTAAATGTGAGAGACTCAACTTGGTAAACGTATCTTTTGTTGATGACCGTATGCCAGTCTCTAGAGGAGACAACACATCAGTCAAAATCTTGATGGATGAATTCAAGAGATTCTCTACTGCCACAGGATTAAAAGTTCACCCAGCTAAATGTAAAATTTACCTTGGTGGTGTGTCGACTGTTGTGCAAAAGGAGATTATGCAGAATACTAGCTTTCCAAAGGTGAGCCCCCATTCAAATACCTTGGGGTTCCCCTTGCCAATAAGAAGTTATCTGTGGAGAAATCTAAGCCCCTTATCAATAAGATTGTGGGAAGAATCACCCACTGGACATCTAAGTTCCTGAGCTATACATGTTGCCTGAAACTTATTAAAAGTGTACTTTTTGGTGTGACTAACTATTGGATGCATGTGTTTCTCATCCCTCAAAAGGTGAATAGGGAAATTGAAGTTATTTGCATAAGCTACCTTTAGATTGGATCTAATGTTATCAGCAAGAAATCCCTAATCTCTTGAAAAAAATATGCGACCCTAAGAAGGCTGGTGGGTTGAATATAACTGCTCTCAGAGAATGGAACTAGACCATCATTGGAAAGCTGGTTTGGAACATTCGTGCTAAGAAAGACAAGCTTTGGATTCGTTGGGTGAAAATGTACTACTTAAAAGGGTGTGAGGTTTTGAACTGGGAAATACCAAACTTTTGCTCTTGGATGATTAAAAGGATAGTGAAAAGTAGAGAGAAGATTAGTACCACAACTTATTGGAATGCAATTCAAAATGGTGAGAACTATAAATCTGCCACAATGTACCAAGAATTACGTGGTAATAGAGAACCATTGGTTTGGAGGAAGTTGCTGATGAATAATCATGCAAGACCTCGTGCCAAGTTTACTTTTTGGTTGTTGCTGAATGGAAGACTTCCTACTAAGGAGAGGCTTAGGAAATTTGGGTTGATTGATAGTAATGGTTGTAATTTCTGTGATGCTGATGAGACCATAGGTCATCTGTTTTTTTATTGTGTAGGATTTTGCATAGTTTGAAAAGAGGTCCTTAGAAAGCCGAACATTAGTCACAAGCCTGCCAACTGGAATAATGAGAAAATGTGACTAAATAGAGAAGCTAATTAGAAGGGGTGGAGAGCTAAAATCCTCAAATTAACCAATGTAGAGACAATATGTGAATATTGGATAAGTAGAAATAATAAAGTGTTCAACCACGAGGAGATGAATTCCATTTTAGTTGATAATATTATGCATAATATTATAATTAGAAGTAGTATGCATAGAGATATAGCTAACCATGTAACTAGAATAATTGGTAAGGATTAGAGATCTCTTGTAATTTGTTTTGTTTATGAAATTAATGCTTTATTATATATATATATATATATATATATATATATATATATATATATATATATATATATAAACAATTTTTATAAAAAGATAGTGTTCAAACAAATAAGATGGATTTATGCTATTTAATTTATAACATTATTTTGTATATAATTTTTTTTACATTTTTAATAAATCATAATAGTCCCACCATTGTTTTAACAAACATAATAGTCATTCCCTTAAGATTATTATATTTTATTTGTATATATATAAATATTATACCTTATTAGTAATTCTAAATTCACACATATGAATAATTGTTTTTTGTTGGAAGTATGCAAATTTTTAATCGCACATATGGCAGATGAAACCGAGTCTACGCTATCGCGTGAGAAAGAGGAGGGACCGAGTCTCTTTATTTATTATAATTATTTGATTTGATTTCTAGAAAAAGAAATGGCGATGTGATTTTATTTATCTCTTGAGATTGAGACTGTCCAAGCAAATAATAACCAATTGGAAGGGTTTGGACTCTTTCATTCATTTTTTACTTTTGAGTTCTTGGACTCTTTCATTCATAGACCTTGTCCTTGTTGTTTCTATTATAGATGTGACATAACACTCACTTTCATCTATCATCACTTTCTTTTCTTTTCTTTTTTAAATGATGACATTTTTTTTTGCTTGGACTTAATTCAAATGCATTGATAAAATGTAATTTTTTTTATATTTTCAATTCATTATTATAATAAAACCTCAAATAAAGCAATTTTAAATGCAAAGATTGCCAAATGTAAAAAATTTAAATAAATATACATAATATTTAAATTTTTTAAGTAAAAAATAACCAGCAATCAACCAAATATTTAACATATTATTGCCCATTATTGAATAAAAAAATCAAAATAAATTCTTTTAAAATATTACATACTCATTCTTACCCTCGTCTCAAAAAAATTAGAAAATTTGTTTTTAATTTTAAAAACAAAACTTTAATAAAATAAAATATGAAATAATATTAAAATTTATACTTTATTTAAATTAAAAATTAAAGAAAAGTATAAATGCTTTAGAAATATTAATTTAACTCATACAAATATTGTTTTTTGGTATTTTTTTTTACTTTATAATTACTATATTTATATAGTTTTGGGAAGGTTTTGCAACCACTAAAATTAATTATAAATATTTTGTACTAAAACAGAGAATGGAAGAGAGGTTGAAGATGATCATTATGGAAAGGTTTTTAACGTGGTGGTTGAGGTCTCTGATGATTAGATATGAGGGGTGTCTGCAGAGTTAGTCCTTTGACGCTCAAGTTAATATTTGAGAACAACAGAGTTGTCGTAAGTGTGAGTAAAAAGAATACATGGGTGTGACTTATAGTCACATTTATAGAGAGATGATGGCTAGAACCTCATTGGTTGATCCAACTTGAATTTTGAAAAACGATTGGATGCATATCAACATTTGAGAAGAGAACCGTGAATGTGTACATACGCGTTGCTATAGAGTAGAGCTTCACGTCTACATTAATTTAGTGAAGTACTTTGACAAGATTAGGTTGGTCTTATGAGGCATTGCATAGCACATAACATTTTCCCCCTAAGTCCTAACTATCAGTGATGAAATAAAGAATGTTGATGCATAAGTTTTTTAGGCTAATACACATATATATTTTGTTGAGGGTGTAGATTTATTGAGAAGGTTCCTCCGAGAAAATGAGAGTTTTATCATGGCATTTAGTGTGAGTAGTTGGCATTGGAAACATGCACATTTAATGTCTGTTGTGTAGCTGAAATATTACCTTGAGGAAGACTTCCATGTATGCTCACGCGTGTGGGGTAGAAGGGTGACACACTTAGGTCCACTTGAATTCACTTAAGAGTCATCAAATAACCGAGGCTTTATCTCAGCTGTTAAACATGATTTTTTTAATCTTTTATTAAATCACGACCATTGATCTTTCTTTCATTAAAGTACAATGTACTTGTTTTCTTATCTTGTTCTCTTCTATGTTAGTCTTTCACTATTGTCCCATTAAGGAAATCGATAACTAGATATTCCCTTTATTGATCTTACTAACGATGTCGAGACTAGTGAAACATAATCTTGAATTAAGGCGGAGGTGATTGACCCAAAAGTTACGAAACCCGGGGTGAAAAACCCATGAGTGACTAACCTAGATAGTAGAGAAGTTGTCCATACTAGGATAGAAATAAGGGAGACAAGTGTTAACGGAAAATCACGATTAAAATACACAGCGGAAAATAAATTTTACTTAAAGTCAATCCTTAAGAATAATCATTATTGGTCATAGATTTGTTATCTTTTGTGGCGATTAATAGTTGATATATGTGTTGAACAAACAACAAAACCTCTACTAAGTACGTAATGACAAAGTTTCTTCAATCTCATTGCTAGATGTTATGAATGAAGACTTTGAGAGAGAGAGAGAGAGGTGTGACTAGGGTTTCACAAACTTAATTTGGTCAAACTTCAAATATTTTAACACAAGGGTTCTATTTATAGAACTTCTTGTGTGGGTTGTAAGTTTAACAAGCCCAGTAAACACATCGTACTTTACAATATACTATATTTCACTTAATTGCATTGTATCCTACAGTGTTCTATATTTTACTTAAGTACATTGTACCTTAATGCATTCCTTGTTTGACTTAATTACATTCTACCTTATGGTGTTCCATGTTGCACTTAAGTACACCGTACCTTGTGATGTATCACATATCTCTAACTAACGCTAGCGCATTACATGATCGCACAATTGAATAAATTTCACTTACTTATTTTTCTCCCATCAATTTTTCCAAATGTCTCTAACCCTATAGGTTCTCGCAACATTGACAATTGTATCAAATCAAGCATTCAATATAATAAATTATGAGTCGTACCTAACAACACATCATTACTACCCAAG